CATTGCAGTGCTGATCTTTCCTCTGGGCTCTCTGGCTCTTGTCTGGCTCCTGCAGAGCAGCCCAGGCCTGGCTCATCCAGAGCTGTGGGGAAGTCTCTGACAGGAAACCCATTCCCCAGGGATGTTTCCTTCCCATCCAAAGAGAGCCCCTGGAGACAGCAGGAAAGAACCAGCGCTCTGCTCTGCCCCAAGGGGATAATGGGATGGATTGAAGGGGTCTTCTCCTCTTCTCCCCAACACATCCCCCCCTCTGCTCTCACGCTCCCTGGCCTTGAGATGAACTCCTGCTGCTCAGGGTAACCTCTGAGCCTGTGTTGGTGCCGAGCCACTGATCTGCTCTCTTGGTGTTCTCCAGCTCACACAACTCTGGTACAGACACGGGCAGAAATGATGGACATGGAACAACCCAGAGAGTTGAACACCAGCCCCGTGTTGAGCCTCAAGCCCAAGGAGCCTTCACTGGGAGATCATGGAACTGTAACGCTTGCGGTTGCCCTGACCCTGAGCACTGAGGGTGATGTCAGCAGCCTGGACAATTCCAGAACAAATTCATATCCCCCTCAGCATCTCTTGGGGCACAAAGGCAAAACCGGCATTGATGACCTGAAGGCCAAGCGCAAGAAGAAGCTGTACAATTCTAAAAGCACCGAGAGTGTGAAAAGCATTGTCCCACACCAGCCCCAGCCTGCCAGGCTGAAGGATATGCTGGAAAAGGCATCCTCAAATTGGGATCAAGAGGAGATGGAGTCACATTTAAACTGGCAAGCACTGAACCCCTGGGATGTAGCTGGTGTGTTTTACCCTTCCGGCCACCTCAGAGATGAGGAGGAAGTTCCTGCTGCCAGGAAGAACTATGTCAGGACACACAAGTGGCACAAGAATGAGGACAGCAACTATTGGATTGGACCTAATCAACTTTTCTACCATGGTTGGAGACCTGTGGAATTGAAGCGAAAGCCCAAAACTTTCCAGATTCTAAACAGGAACCTGGATTTTCTCTCTGACCCATTGGCTCAGATCCGCCCCGTTGTGAGCAGCAGGGGAGAGGCCGTGGCTGAAAGGGAGCATTCCTCTCTAGGTGGGCACCGCCAGATCATGCCTGCCACCACAGAGGAGGAAGGGTCTGTGTTCCTCAATAAACCTGTGAGCCCCCAAATTTCAGACCTTGCCCCGGTTCCAAAAGAGCTCTTGGATACCACAGTCAATCATCACCTGCGCTTGCTGGAGCCAGACAAAGACAAAGGCCTGCGGTCGTTCATGGCCCACGTGAAGCGAGCCCTGAGGATGGACTGCAGCCTGCCCCAGCTCAAGCAGGCCTGTGCCAAGATGGTCTTGAAGATGAAGCTGCTTCTAAAGGAGCTCAGCAAGAGGCAAGAGAACCAGGGAGCCTCTGATCCCATGGACCAGTGTCCTCTGCAAGACAACATCTCCAGACGCACGGCCTTGGTGGAGGACAAAGAACTCACAGGGAAGGTAGGAGAGCTGCTGGGCACTGCTGCATGTGTGTGTCCTCCTGGGCAAAGGAGAATGGGAAGATCAATCCTCTGTCTCCCTGTGATTATCTTTGCTTTCCTCTCAACAGAAACTGGAGGCCGTGGTGTACGTGATCACGTTTGTGGTTTTGCTGTCTTTCTTTGTCTTCGTTTCGCTGATACTGAAGTGTGTTTTCCATGTAAGCCTTGTTTGACACATATCTGTCTGTCTTGTAGCTGGAGTGCCGGGGTGATGAGCCCCATGTGCCACTGCAGATGCCCCTGCACGTGCTGGGTGCCACAGGAGAGGTTTTCCCAAGCCTGGAGCTTGTGGCAGCATCCACAGCACCCAGCTCAGCAGGGTTCAGCCTGCCAGGGGAAAGCTTGTCCTACCTTCTGTCCCACTTCTCCCCAGCTTTGCTTTGCTCTCCTGCCTTCAGCCACACAGCAATGAGAGCTTTTGCCCTCTTGTGTTCAGCTAAAGATTACAGGAAAACAGATGTTACAAATCTCCCATTTTCCATCCCCAGATGCTCCCCTCTCTCGTGAACTTGATTCCAATGCTGCCACAGCTGGAAATTGTGTCTGAGAAGGTAACTGCTCCCTGCCCGTGCCTCTGTTGTGCCAGCAAGAGTCTTTCCTGTGAAGAGAAACTCCTCCCCGAGCCCCGCAGCCGCGCGGGTGCCGCTGCCCAGGACTCCCCTGGCTGTGTTTCACACACGTCGCGTTTGGGGGAGCCCGGGGAAAGGGGCTCCTGAGCGACAGCGCTGGGCATGGCCAGGAGCTGCCAACCCAAGCAGCCCTTCATGCACCAGTGCTGGGATGGATGTCTTGGGCTCCAGTGCGGTCCCAAATTTCTGTGAGCACGAGCAATACCTCTCTGTTCCCAGAACAGTCTCCTCTGCTGATGGCTCTGCCCTATTTCTCCTGCTCTCTCCCAGAGCAGCTGCTGAAGAGCTCACTCCCATCCTCTCCAGTTACTTTTTACATCCAGGGCTCATTTCCACCTACTCCAGCCACTGCCATCCCTGCTGGGGCTCCCCATCTTCCTTCAGCTCTGCTGACACACCCCCCCAAGCAGGGAGAGGTGCTGGCACCTGCTGCAGCCCTCCCTGGCCAAGCCTCACTGCTTAGGAACCAGGAGCAGGGACCTCTGGGGATGTGATGCCCAGAAGACTTTTTCTCCCCATTTACCTTGCCCACTCCGTTGGTTTGCAGTGCTGCAAATGCCACTTCCCAACTCTTCCAGCGGCTGCTTCACGGACAGGGCAGAGCACAGGCAGCCCTGCTACCCACAGCCTCCATCACCAGCTGCCTTCCCTTTTTATCCCTATTTTCCCTTTCTGTTTTTTTCAGTTCTTTTGGAAAACTGCTACAGAGAGTGAGGAAGGATAACGAGGATGTCGAGGAAATAAGAGCAGGGAGCTCCTGCCAGTGTTGCCCCTGTTCCCACACCGTCCATGCCAATTCCCAGTGCTGCTCCCTGTTCACAAAATCGGAATTGCGGTTGCTTCAACGCATCAGGGTTGCCTATGAAGCCCATGCATCAGCAAGAGACCTAGTGTGAGGAACTCAGGTCGACGACTTTTAAGAAGAACTTCCTGTGATGCCAACAACTCTTTTTCTCCTGTTCTGCTACAGGAACTGCTGAGGCTCTCCTTGGATGCTTTTTCATTGGATGTTGCTATTGCCTTAGATGCTTTTTCCTTGACTGTTATTTTCTTTCTGCTAGTGCTGCGGGAGTGTGCTGCAGGCAGCCACGAGCTCAGGACACCCAGAGAAGGCTTCAGTACCTCAGAGTTTTCCTCAACCCTTGTGGCAATGTTTCTCCCTGCATTCAATAAAAACAAAGGTTTCTCCTCATTCCTCCTGCTGTTGCTGATGTGTTTGTAAAAGCAGATTCCGGTCTCCCTTACGGCATTGGCAAAACTCAGTTCCAGCTGGGCCTTTGCTTCTCCACCTTTCTCCCTGCATGCCCCAACACCATCCTCACCGGCTTCCTGCGGTGCTGCCCTTCTTGGAAATTTGTAAATTCTGTGTTTTCCCTGAGTCCCAGCCAAAGCTTCCTGCTCAGCCACTCTGCTTCCTCACCAGCTGGCCCTTGGGCACATGGGCACGGCCTGTTCCTGCCTGTGTCTTGAAGGATTGCTGCTTGCACAATGTCCAGCCTCCCTGGGCTCCTCTGCCCCTCAGGACAGCGTCCCCAGGGAGCCTCTCAAGCAGCGGGGCTGCACTGACTCACCCTGGGCAGCCCCTCCAACCAGGATGGACCTTTGTCCACATTGTCACTGTCCCGGCCCAGAGGCCCAGAGCCTGCACCGTGCTGTGCAGAGGGAGCCGGGAAGGTGACAGGGGCCGGGAGGGGACTCCCCTGCTGCCCCGGGCAGGGAGGAACCTGTTTCCATTTGCCCCTTACCTCTGCCAGCCCCTCTGCCACTGCCCGGCTCTGGCACTGCCGGCACCCAAGAACTGCGTGAGCTCCCTCTGGGTCATCACGTGCCATATTCTGGCTATGGCCCACTGAACAGTGGAAACCACAGCTGGATCTCCACATCTGGGAGGCCGATGAGGACAAAGCACAACTCTTGGAGGAGGAAACTGTCTGCCTTCCTGCTTGTTTCCAGCTTGGAAGAAATCTCTTCCCTATCGCATTCCCTCATGCAGCACTTCTTTGGGGTCTTCCCCAGGTGCAGAGGTGCATTCCCACAGCTGCTGCTCCCCTTGGCATTGTCTGTGCCCTTCTGTCTGCCTGTGCCCAACAGCTGGCCCTGGACTGGTGCTGCAGGTACAACGAGCATCACCCGGCACCGTCAGTCCCCTCCCCGCTGCTCAGCACTTGGGTTTCCCTTCCAGGCCCCTGCTGCAGCTGCAATGCCAGCTCCCATTCAAACAAAGCCTTCCTGGATATCTCTTTGGATATCAAAATAAGAGACTTTGCAGTAGCGCTTCTAAAACGCCCCAAGGCCCCTGTAGCTTTCCAGGGTCAGCACTTTTGCGTTCCCAATGTCTCTTGCGGGCACAAGAGCTCTGGGTGGCGGGTGGGAAGGGGAATGGCTGGTGTCCTCTCGCAGAGGCCATGGCACTGGTGTCCCTGTGGTGCTGGCATGGAGCTGCACAAGCAGCATTGTCCCCTCTGCGGCCCTGAGGTTTCTGCCTCTTCCTCCTTCCCTTTGCTCCCAGGCTGCCTTGTTGTACCTCCTGATGAAGGGCTGCTGTCCTGGAGCAGAGTCATCTTCTCAAGGAGGTTTAATGCGCACACACGAAACGCACCTTTGTCTAATATGGCTCAGAATGGCCTTAAACTAGCCACAGGGTGTTTGTTTGACACAGGCAACACAGCCATCAGGAGCAATTTCTTCATGGAAAGGTTGGTCAGGCCTTGGGAAGGGGCTGCCCACGGAGGCGATGGACTCCCCATGCCTGGAGGTGTTCAAGGAAGGGCTGGAGGTGAAACGGAGTGCTCCGGGCTGGCCGCCAAGGTGGGGATCGGGCACGGATGGACTCGCTGAACCCGGAGGTGTTCTCCGTCCTAAAATGACTCCGAGACACCGGGACTCTGAGCCCAGGCCTGGAGCCCGCCCTGCCCCAAGCGCTGCCGGAGCCGCCCCGGCCCGAGCTGTTGGGCCGCGCGTTTCTCCTCAGGCCGCGGGGGCCGCTGCCGGGGCCGCTGCCCGGAGCCGGAGCTGCC